TGACCGAGAGACTGTGCACTACTCAGCCCTGGGATCTCAATGGAACCATGCCCCGTACCCAGACAGCAATACCGATGTGACCTACCTGGGTAGGCAACCGAGTCTGCATCGGAGAGACGGCTGCCTCGCCCGACTGCAGCATTTGAATCGTCCAGAAAGGTTGCCCAGTTGGGTAGGTGAACTGCCTATCCCTTACTACGCCTTTCTCGTGCTCCATGTACCGAGCACTGGCCTGCGCACTACCTGTCGCCTATGACGTTGGAGTTTTCACAGGCGCTTGATATGACAAGCGCTAATGGAAATGCTTAAGCGGAAACGCGATGCGATGAGATGCGACGACAAGGCGACCGACCGCAAATGCTGCGAGTCCATGGATTTCATTCATTACATCCATACATCCGGTACCTCCTGACTCGCTGGGAGAGAGGAATGCATCCATGAATAGCTGGTAACAAGAACACTCTCGGCAGGATGTTACTGACGCCCATCATTCTTCCTACATGAACTTGCCTAATGCTGTCATGGTTGGAGTCCTCCCTTGGGTGCGCTGCATAGGTATTATCGAGGATTGATCGAGCGAGCAACCAGACATGCGTTGCACAGCCATCCCGCTTCTTTTTTTAAACCTCAACCAACTTGACTGACAGGCCCTCCGCCATTGGGTGGATGCCCAGTGGGTGAGGGGTGTTGGCGCACGGCATCCAACAAGAGGCACATGCCCGTCGACAATGGCTCAGCCCGCGCTAGACCGGTTGCGGCTCCGAGACTCGAACCATCACCGCCGCCGCCAAACGCAGGAACTCTGCACAACATGCGGTGGGAGGACCTGGTGGGGGATGAGGCTTGGGATTCAACCTTCTCAAGGCGTCTTTTACCGTTTCACCTCGAGCTCCAGCACGCAGTGCCGGACATGGCGCTGGGAGGCGGGGGCATCTCCAACCTCAAACGGTGTAAGCCCCGGCGCCACAAGGGTCTCCGGGCGAGAGGATTTGCATCATCTAATTGCTGTCTGAGAGCCAACAAGTCGATATCTCTGCATTGGCAACTCCTATTGCGTCCAGAGTTTGCTGCGAGGCATGGAATGTGGCTTCTACCTTCTACCCTCTGAGGCCTTCGTGCTAATATGGGCGGCCGCCTGTGAGAACAAGCTTGACTCAACCGCTAGCACTCACTCTTGTGCTCCGTGTCACATCACGGGGAGAGTTCCCTCGGATGACTCTGGTGAAACGATACGCCTTTGGTCAAACAGTCGCTGCTCTTTTTGCAATCGGGGCCGGAGGTCGATATGTGGACCACCACGGTGTAAGCCGCTCTTGTTGCACCAGAGGGCGAGTGCGCAGGCCAGTCATGCCGTGAAGAATCCTACTGGGCGGTCTTCCCACCGACAAGAGCACAGGAAGGCTCGGAAATGCAGACATTTGGAGCCCATTTCCCTGATTATTCCCATCATGGAGTCCTCAATGGCCCGTCTCCACCACCTCGGCCGTTGGGATTCCGATATTTTTTTCGTTGCGCGCCGAGTTGAGTCGGCGCCATGTGGAGAACGCATGTCGGCGTCATGCTAGGCGGCCGGACAATTTTGTTCGACAGAGCTTCTGGAGTGAGATGGTGAGATGGAGATTATGGGGACAATAGCTCAGGATGAAACACGCACCAACAGCAACAACCACAGAGCAAAGACGTTGGATGTTGATAGAGATCTGGGGGCGTTCGACTAGTTGGGCTAAGCGCAAGGAGATTGACAAGCATGTCGACCGTCATCAAAGTGCAAGAGATTCATATGGGGCAGTCATTGACATCAGTGATCTTCCGGGAGTGCAAGGCCCCAGACACGAGTGACCAAATTGGGCATAGCAGAAGGATGAGGACAACCCCATGAGATGCCCGAGACGCTTTCCCCGGGAGATTCGACTGAGGGCCAACGAGAAACGAGCAGCGACCAGGCGGCCACGAGCAACGGTGATCAGGAAACGTTTCGACAGGGGGAGATGGAGGCAAGAGGGAGCAACAGGACAGGGGCAAGACGGGCGAGGCCGGGCTGTGCCTCTGGAGCTCGGGGCCGATTTGGGCTCCCTGCAACCGAGGCATCGGATTGGTCCCAGCGATGGGAGACATCTTGCACAGCACCCGCGCTTGCATATCGGCAAGGACGAGAGGCACAGCACAGCACACCGCAGCAGCACAACGCACCCGTCGAGCCCTAGGACAGGGGGCTACATAACTTGGGATCCATGGATAAAAATATCCCCTCGAGCTGGGGCACCAGAGCCTCCACCACCTGGTGGGCAAAGCCTCCTTCACCACGTTCTGGGGAGAGGGCTTGCAGACGCGGGATGCGCGATACTTACCCTGAAGCCGATTAGAATTATTTATGTGTAAGTTGATTTCGGGAGAGTGAGGAATGCTGCGCATGTGACGTTGGAAGCAGCGCAGTCAGAGAATGGAAGAAAACGTCGTGCGTGGCTAACGTCAGGCCACAGGACCTGGGACTTCAGTACAGACTGGTCTCGTGGCGGCGACACACTTGCAACGCCAAACTTGAACGGTTGGCCGGTGCAGACGGCAATGAACGCAGCATCGCGGACATTGAAAAGTCAATTTCATCAATTCGAGACTCAATACCTGGCACTCACCGACGGGCTGGTCCATGTCAGATTAGACAGATAGTCCATGGACAACCGACGGGGGGCCAGTTAGAGGTTGCATCAGGATGGGGGGCAGCAGAAGGGAGGGCAGGGAGGGGAATGAAAGACTATGATGGTTGATGATGACGGTGAAGAGGATGAGGAGGGGTCAACAAAGGCAAACACCAGGCAAGGCAAGCAAGCAAGCAGCAAGCATCAGGCGGATCATGGCGGACCATGGAGGGCGGACGAGGGGATAATGTCCTTAAGGTTTGAGCTCCATCCCGTCCTCTCTTCATTCTTTTGATTTGGGTTAAGCTTCTATCCTAACTCGACTGGGCCAAATACTCGAATTTCCCTTGCTATGGCGGTTATTCTGGCCATTTACCAGCATTCAAACAGTGCCATGAATGAGCTTGAGAGACAACAACATCCCGCAATACGCACACCCACGGAAGGCGGAAGACCTGGGCCGGCAGGAGACGAGAGGTACCAGGCGCTCGACGGCCAGGTACCTGCTATACAGATTGGGCCGCCCGCGACGCGGGATTGACTTGGGGACCCCTGAAGATGGGAAAGGCGGCTGTGGGACCATCGACTGCGGATGGAGACAGTCCCACTGACAATCGATTTGGGCGAGGATTTGCTGTCCGTCCCCCTGGTCCGCCTCTGAGAAGTACTTGCTTCTTTGTACTGAAACTTTGGCAGAGCGCCCCCGGTCAGAGCCATTGCCTCTGTGAATCCCTGCGACTTGCCCTGCTAGAGAGCTAAGCTGCGACCCTAGCATGCCGGGAGGCCTGCTTGTCTTGTACCGGTACCTCAGAGGTAGGTCTGTCCACCCTCCATGGGCAGATCAATTGTGTCCGCGGCGCACGCCTCGGTCGTCAGGACACACACCCCGTCCCCGTATCCGTGGGTTTCTCTTCTCTTACCTCACGATGCTCTGTAACATCCGCCTTTTTCGAGATGCTCCCCTTTGGAATGGCCTCAGCCGGACGTCGAGTCACCAGAAGTAGGCCAGCGGCGCAGGGACTCGCTGTCCTGGCAGACGGGTTGCCATGTCTCGACAGAACGAGTTGATATCACGAGTCTCATCAGACAGACGACAGACAGACGGGAGGCGACACGCCTCAACCTCTGTCTCTTCCCCCTCCATGATTCTCCCGAAACCCATGTCAAGGACCCCCAGACACTGCTGCCATTCAATACCGAGTCTGGAACTGACTTGAAGGCACGGCATGGCATTCTCGTGAGTAACTTTTTTCTGCAACTAAATGTCTCTGTACGGATACCCTGGTTCCTATTTCGAGGCTGGCGCTGTCTGGCGCTGGGCCTCTGCCACCACTTTGACCTTAGTTTTTGGCCTTGTCTTCTCACTCAAGTCACCCACACAACTCTATTATTGACACGGCTGTGCCCCTGCAACCACACACACACATGCACGCATACACACCCTCGCCGCCTGGGCAGATGGGCTTTGGCTGTCTGGCGAATGGGGCGTGGGCTCACCCTCCCCCCTGGCCCCTACATTCACTAGGCCCTGCCCTACCAGTGTACCAATGTACCAGGCCTGTCCGTCTCTCCTCTGGGCTCGTCTACCCCAGCAGCCTCCTCTTGTCGTGGGCTCAAGCTCGTCTCCATCACTCCAACTGGAGAGAGCCGATCCGTTGCGGACGGGGCCCGGATGCAGGTTGCAGTGGTGCCTTGTCTATATCTACTTTGGCAGCCCCCAACCCGTTCCTTGGGTCCAGGAAGAGTTCGTTGCTCGATAACCTCTACCGATCCCATCATCACGACATTGTTCTCTACGAACAACACTGTCTCTTGACTCTTATACGTCTTGACGACAAGAAGAGATACAAGAGGTTCCCTCACCACCAGTGTTCCTCTCGTTTACCCACCATCACTACGCTTCGCCCTCACCAGCGCAGACATACACACTTTGGTTTGAGCAACAGGATTCCAAACCGCCAAGGTCGTCAACTGGATACAAGTCCCATCAGTCGACCATAACAGGTACATTGTCCGTTGTGTCCACGTCCACGTCCACATCCATCAGAAACATCTTGGACACCGCGAGACGTCGACTCACACCAAGCCTCACTCCGTCACTGGAATGCGAAGTGTAGGTGAGCTTCCCCGGGAATATGACATCTGATCCATACTCTGGACACCTGCAACATATCCTCTCCTGCTCTACCTGGAGCTCCGAATCTGACATTTGCCTGGTGCTGCGAATCTAGATAAAGGTGATCGCATCCCGAGCTTGAGCTTCCGTCGCTTCAAGCCCGTCTTCGCCTTCGCCTCGAACAAACCCACATTGGGTCTTTCGCCTATCCCCACGCTTCTCTATCTCGCTTCTTCGATCAACACACCATGACATCCTTGACAGAACAACCCTTCGCCATGTTTGCTCACCAGACCGACTCCTCGGACGAGTTCGTCCGGTATCAGGACCACTCTGGCGCCCATGCCGTCTTCACCACGGGCCCCATGGACGTGAGCATCCCCGCGGACGCCTTTAGCTTCCAGCAGACTATGGGCTTTGTCGAACAACAGCCTCTGTACGCCGAGGCTCCCAATTACATGCTCAACAGCCGGGCTTCACCGGGCATGTACACGGACGAGTCGGACATGAGACTCTCTTCGTCTAGCCTTTCGACGGCCTCTGCTCCCTCGGCCGCATCTTCGGCGATTGGATCGCCCCAGTCCAACCACGGCCAGATGGGTGCTGTGCCCGAGTGGGCGCCCCAGGGCCTCGGAGGTCAACCAGCTATTGTGGGCAGCGACTTCATGGCCGGGGCCGACTTCGGTTCGTTTGCTGGGCCCGGCATGGAGGAGCTCAACTTTGACTTCCCTGCGACTAAGGGCTTCGTCGGTAAGTTACCATCATTGTCCAATTCCTCGCTTGGAAGCGCTCGGCGCTCCCGTTTCCCTGCCTCGCAAGGGCATTGGCAGACCAAGAGGGACAGGCACAGGCAGAGCCCCAGCCCGAGGCCTCATGTTCCCCACCACCACCTTGCCCTAGCTCCCTCAGATCCCTGCTCTCTTGGACATGCCGGGTCGACGTGTCGAACTGCGTCTGTCTCTACCACGTCGTCGGCTCTCCAAGCGGTGCAAGGCGAGCTGAAGGGTGTCGATCCCCATCTTGCCCTTTCCTCATCCTGTCTCTTGGCCGTGTCGTCCCCTGCCTCTTCCAGCCCCGTTCGCTCCTCTGCAGCATCCACATCCCCATCCACATCCACCTCGGTCACATCATTGTCAGTGTCAGTGTCAACGTCTTCTCCGTGCCTGGCCTCGTCTTGCAAGCGACGGCGGCTTAGCCCGTCGCCTGGTTGTCCAACTGAGACATTTCACCCATCAACCCAATCGGCACTTGACAGTCCTGCTCCGCCGCCATCGATACGCGACATTGCTTGCTTTTCTCACGGCAGTGGCCAGCTGGAAACCTCGTTTGGGCTTAGCTCCAATGGTTCCCAGTCCAGGGTGCTGCAGCTGTCACCGTCCCCCCTCTCCTACTCCCACCCTCGCTCTCGCTTTCACATCAACAACTCCACCACAACTGTTTCTCAGTCTCACACTCAGACTTGGATTCTGCTTGCTGACCATGCATCTTCCATGATAGATCCTACTACTCTCATTCAGCCTGAGATTACCCGACCTCCCATGGGAATCCCTTCCTATGATACTCACTTCCAGCAGTCCAACCACACCTATCCCACCTCTCCCTCTGTGTCTTCCTCGTCCCCACAGCCTCATATGATGAGGACCAACAGCTCCTCGCCCTTCCTCCACAACGGTACCTTCCAATCCGCCTTCCCCAGCAGCCCCTACGGTGCCCCCATCGACAACCACGTCCGCGCCCCTAGCATGAGCCAGTTTGTCCCCCCTACGCCTGGCGAGTACAGCGACAATGAGTCCAAGGAGAAGCAGCGATGCACCTGGCCCGACTGTGGCAAGACCTTTAAGGACCTCAAGGCGCACATGCTCACACACCAGAACGAGCGCCCCGAGAAGTGCCCCATCCAGACCTGCGAGTACCACACCAAGGGCTTTGCTCGCAAGTACGACAAGAACCGCCACACCCTCACTCACTACAAGGGCACCATGGTCTGCGGCTTCTGCCCTGGATCCGGATCAGCCGCGGAGAAGTCGTTCAACCGTGCCGACGTCTTCAAGCGTCACCTGACTGCTGTCCACGGTGTTGAGCAGACTCCCCCCAACAGTCGCAAGAAGTCTTCGACTGGTGTCAATGCTGCCAAGAAGCTCACCGGCTATGCTCCCGATGCCACCGGCAAGTGTAGCACTTGCTCTCAGACCTTCTCCAACGCCCAGGATTTCTACGAACATCTTGACGACTGTGTCCTGCGCATTGTCCAGCAGGAGGATCCTGCCGAGGCTATCAATGCTAAGCGCCTGGCTGAGGTTGAGAACGACAAGGATGTTCACATGACTCTGGAGAAGAACAACCTCCCCACTACTACGGAGGCCGCCATGGCTCAGAATGACGATGAGGAGGCTGACACTGGTGATGAGGACGAGGACTCGCCGCGAACCAACACATCTCCCACCACCCGCAAGAAGGGTAACCCTCCCAATGGTGTTCAGAAGTCTCGGGGCGTCACCCACTCTCGAGGTGGTGTTACCCTGACTACCAAGACTCGCAGCCGCAAGAACCGTCGCGATTATCCTTCTTCATGGGGCTTCGACAAGGGCCAGATGACCATGAAGAAGCGAGTCATGGCCGTCTTTGATGGTCCCCGTCGTCTTGCCAAGGACGATATGATGCTCTCCACCGACCACGAGGTGCGCATCCCCTTGTCTGATGGCAAGTCCTACGTCACGGATCTCGATGTCCAGACCCTCAAGCGAGCTGCCGGTTTCCACGGTGCCACGGATGAGGAGAAGGGCCCCTGGATCTCTGACGACCCTACTGCCGAGCAACTCCACGAGATGCAGCAGATGCTTGCCAGCAGCACCACGACCGTTTAATGGCCTCGACACATCTACCTACTTGACGAAATCAACAACACTCCCTTTCTTTAAGCACACGCAACAGAAAACTGTTTACAAAAAAAAGGCTAGGCTTGGCAAGGCATGGCAAGGGCGGCGCACGCGAACTGTACTAGAGCAAAGGAATATCCGGACGGCTACGGACTGGACTGGACTACTATTTATGACGGGTTCTGGATCGGGACACATTTTTATTCATGACAATATCGGGATGGGACGACAGGAAAGGGAAAGACACTCCCTTTGGATTATTGGGCTTTTGTTTGCTGCGCCGGGAGTTGACGCATCGATACCCCTGTTTTATTCGTTCTCGTCTTTTTGGACTTTTTCTTTCTTTTTGGGACTGGCATCTCCCGACAAACCCGATCTGATGGCTTGATGATAATGGACGATTTTTGACAAATCACTTTCTGAATGGACCTGGATCTTTGTTTTGCATATGTCGTTGTCTGCATGGCTTTTCGAGGCTTGCCTGACATGACTCTTTTTTATGCATTGCTCGGCAGAGCTGGAACGCAATATGGGGGTGTATATTAATGGAGGAGGAGGACTTGGAAAGGAGTTGTGATGGAATGGGGACCACATATCGGAGAACACATGAACCTGATATAGTGATGAATGATAATGTACAATGCTCAACACAACTTGGTTCATTTAATGTGATTCTTGAGGACACTTAAGCCGAGAGAAGATGTATTGTTGGCCTGAGGTTCTCAAGGTAAACTGTGCTTGTTGAACCGAGGCAAACCAGGTGATCCTTATTGACTTTGTATAGGGGTCTCCTGATGGTCTTGACCTCTAACGTAGTAGATCTTTTGAAATTTCACAAGCAACTAGAGCGTCTATTCTAATTGACTTGAGGCTCGAGTTTCGTCTCCATTCGTACCAGCTTAGTTACGCATGCCGTGCCTGGGCGAAGTGTAAATATCCCGATCCCTGAAGACAGCGTCGACACAAAACATTACTCTTTCTCACAGCTTTGATTATGATACTGAAGCGATTTCTAATCCCTGATATTGATCATCCCCTCATTGACTGGCTTCCACATGATAGGAGGTGCATATTGTAGGCGTCACCTGGCAAGCTTAGAGTTTATGGTCGTTCACCCTGATAACAGAGAACAAATTACTGTCGTGTGACCATGAGACGGTCAATTTCGCCGAGAACATGTAATTGTATATCAGCTGACGTTCTTTCTAACTAGACATTGCACAATCTCCATGATCAACTCTCCTCAAACCCCTAAAGATACAGGAGACACCTTGTTTAGAGAATCTGGGGTATGGAAAAAGGAAGCGTTGGAACGCGGAGTCGACGATGATAGTTTGATTGGGAGTTCAATCTAAGCTTTCGATCCTGCATGCCCCCTCCTTTCAGTCAGGAGAAGGCACATGATCAGAGCACCTTTTTATCCATCACAGGGGAAAGAAAGCATAGGAGATTGTGGGATAGGGTTTGTTGAGGCGGTAATGGGCGTGCATGGTGATGCAACTGAATCCCTTCGGACATGGCATTTGGATGATAAGGCACAGGTATAAAGATTCATGTCTGTTGTTTTGTGTCATGTCTGCCACACGGATACGTTTCCTTCATCAAGTCTTGATCATCTTCTTCCCCTTAATACAGGTATCCAGACAACAAAGTCGCGCTTCCATACCGGAAAACAGCCTGTAACTACATGACATCGTCAGCATAATGAGAGGTAGCAAAGAAGACACAGAGGAAGGGCTCGCCACTCTGCCTTCCGGAGCGGGGGAAGTCGACAATGATCCTACGCTCGGGCACGACGCAGTCTTTGGCAACATTACCGAGAAAGGACCCAACTACCGCGACGTTAATATCCCGTATTTGCTATCTCATAACAAGAGCTGACGATAAATAGGTCGGATGGCTTGGCTCGGCTGCCCTCATGATGAAGTCTCAAATAGGCCTCGGCGTCCTCTCGATTCCCTCCGCGTTTGATGCCCTGGGCATCATACCAGGCATCATCTGTCTCTTGATCGTTGCTGCTCTAACAAGCTGGTCGGACTATGTGATTGGCATGTTTAAGCTGAGGCATCGAGAGATTTGGGGCATTGATGATGCTGCTGGGCTCATGTTTGGTAGAGTTGGGCAAGAGTTTCTCGGCGTTGCGTTTGTTCTGTGTGAGTTGGAACATCACTATTCAACTGGTATGACTGCTGATGAAGCGTAGATACCATCTTTGTTGCTGCGTCGGGCATTCTTGGCATCTCGATCAGCTTAAACGCCATGTCGACTCACGGAGCCTGCACCGCAGTCTTCGTCGCCGTATCCTCCATTGCAGTCTTTGGCTGTAGCAGTATCCGTACTCTGGCAAATATAAGCTGGCTTGCCTGGGGCGGCGTAATCTCCCTCACAATCGCAGGCAAGTAAACCCCTCCCATAACCCCTGATACACCTATACCAACTATAACTCGTCAGTCTACATCGTCACCATCGCCACAGCAATCCAAGACCGTCCTTCAGAAGCCCCTCAGGAAGGAGTATGGGTATCCGATTACAAGCTCTCCAACAACCCCAGCTTTGCCGACGCCATCTCTGCCATCTGCACTTTCGTATTTGCCTACGCTGGCACGCCGCTCTTCTTCCCCATCGCGGCCGAGATGCGGGATCCGAGGCAATACACCAAGGCGTTGGTACTCTGTCAGTCAACCGTCACTGCTACGTACATCATCATCGGCATCATTGTGTACTACTACTGTGGTTCTTATGTTGCGTCGCCGGCTTTGGGTTCTGCGGGACCTGTTATTAAGAAGATTGCTTATGGACTTGCTCTCCCTGGTCTTCTTGCTGGTGCAACCATTAATGCTCATGTAAGTTAAGCAAGGGTTAATTTCTAGGGGGCAAATGCTAAGAGTCGTAGGCCGCAAGCAAGTACCCGTTTATCCGCTTCCTCCGTGGATCGAGGCATCTAACCGCCAACACATTCACCCACTGGGCATGCTGGCTCGGCTGCACATTCACAGTCTCCTTAAGCGCGTACGCTATCGCCAGCGGAATCCCTATCTTTCACGCCCTCGTGTCCCTCGTGGGAGCTCTTCTAGGTACGCTCATGTGCTTCCAGCCGATGGGATGCATGTGGCTGTACGACAATTGGAGTAGTGGCCGTTCCGGGGGGAGAAGTCTCAGCTGGACTATCCAGGCCTGCGTTGCTGTGTTTGTCGTCGTTTCAGGAATGTTTCTCACAGTTGCTGGGACGTATGGGACTGTTGTTGGGGTTATCAAGGCTTTCAAGGAGACGAAGGGGGCGGCGGCTTGGTCGTGTGCCGACAACTCCAACTCTGTATAAGGTATGTATACTACTCTCAGGGGCCCTATATTATGAGAGAAAAGGATTGGTTACGATTGCTTTAGTTGCGTCGTTTGGATATCAAGGGTGGTTGGTTTGGATACTTAAGACTGGACGTTGCCTACACAAACAACATGTTTACTCACTCAAAAGACACACCAAAACAAGATAATAATTCAAACCCTTGATTAAACAGAAACTCGTTGTCTGATTCATGTTGGCATCCGTGTTACTCATTGAAAAAGCGGTCGGACTTGGCAAATTTTCTAGTTCCATGGATGGAAAGGTTGCGATTGCCCCACCAGATCGATCGATAACTAAGGCAAGATATCTGCCCATACTCTACAAACTCACTCACTCAACTCTTACACTTCAACAGTTGCAACTCATCTCTCTTTGAAAATTCCAGTCTCACCACACTCAAAGGACTTACTCGTTCATTCTAGAGCCTATTTTATGAGACCAAGTGGTTCTTGGGGAGTCATCAAGGTGCTCGCGTGAGCTGGTTAGGCATCAACACCAAAAATATCACATCTCATACAAGAGATACACACATCAGCAAAAATGTCCCTCACCTGGAGAATCTCCCTCAAGGGAGAAACCGCCGACGAACCAGAAGACTACCTCTCCACAGCTCTCGGCGTCATCTTCCCCGACGACATCACCAACCAGCACGGCGACGCAGAGCACTCCCTCTCATACGCATCGCCACACCTCCCCAAGCCTCTCATCATCGACCTCGCCGACCCCGTCAAGGAAGATGACCGCAAGCTATTTTCTCACTACCTCTGGAACGCATCTCTCCTTCTCGCCGAGTTCATCGAGGCTGACTCGTTGGGCATTCCCCTCGAAAAACCCCGCGAGGCGCAGGATAGTCTTTCGTTTGACGTCAAGGGGTTGAATACGCTCGAGCTCGGTGCTGGTACTGCGCTTCCTAGCATCATGGGAGGGTTGTTGGGGGCCAAGAGAGTCGTCGTGACCGATTATCCAGCTGAACCCGTCCTCAAAACCCTCCGCACAAACGTGGCCCGCAACATCCAACCATCCTTCTCACCATCCCCCGAAGCAGTGACGCCAACATCGTCCATCGTTGTCGAGGGTCATTCGTGGGGTGAGTTGACAGATTCCCTAAGCTCTTCCAACCAATACGCTTTCGACCGTGTCATCGTCGCCGACTGTCTCTGGATGCCCTGGCAGCACGCCAACCTTCACAAGTCCATCGCCTTCTTCCTACGGCGTACACCTGATGCTCGTTGCTGGGTCGTCGCTGGTTTCCATACGGGTCGGGAAAAGATGCGTGGATTTTACGCTGCGGAGGCGTTGAAGGAGGTTGGGCTCGAGGTCGAGAGGATCTGGGAGAGGGACTGCAACGGCGAGGAGAGACCATGGGATACCGAAAGAGAAGACGACGTCACCGTGAGGAAGAGATGGCTCGTCGTCGCTTCACTCAAGTGGATTTCGATATCGTGAGGGGCGACTCGATTCGTCAAGTGGTGGAATAGCGAGAGAGGGAAAAGGGGGTTGAGAGGCTCATTTATACCCACGACCACAGACCCCTCGCAACACCCGGAACCCTCGGTATCACCCGTGGCGGAGCAAGACAATGCCGTACGGCCTTCTGTTTGTTAGCCCTGGATGATTGGTTCTCTGCCCGCTTGTCCGTCTCACTACCGCCCGCAGCATTGGGGCTGAGCATGGCGGTCGTGAGGGGGCGTAAGATTGACCCAGAGCACAAGACGCCATGGATCGACGGAGGAGTTAGACTAAGCATAGTAACTAGGCCATGTAATAAAGGTAGAAAGACGGTGTAGGATTGTAGCTAGACCTGAACATGACCCGTCAATGTATCGTAAAAGATCAAAGCAAACATCATAGCTGGACAGCATATGGCCGTTGAATGGGTTGAATATACCTCGACTGTACACAAATCCGCCAAGAAATCCTTCTCTTCCACCCATCACATCACATCATCTATATTAAAATGGCTGCCCATCTCTGCAATTGGCTCGTCAATTGGGCGCCTCAACACTTGGTCCCTTTTCCTCTATCTTGACCACAAGATCATAATTAACTCTCAAGTTCTCTGCCCCGCTGAGCGCTCTTGTAAGCATAGTCTCGCGTCGCTCGCCGACAAGACGCTTGAGTGCTCCAACAAGGAAGCCTGCGACGATGTCGACCGACCAGTCGTCCGGGATGAGTCCCAGGACCTCGTCGATCTCGAACCACCCACCGAAGCGTTCCAGCAGAGCACCCGTCTGTTCTACACGGTCGCTGGCATCTTCTATCGCGAGGAACTCGCGTAGTACAACGTGAAAGAGGCGGTGTTGCTCCTCGATTGAGGGTCGCTCAGCAGGGGCGACACCCGAGGTTTTGGCTCCGCCTCGGAGGCAGTACGAGACGGCTGTGTCGTAATCGCCAAGGTTGTGGATCAAGAGACGGAGAGCGTCGTCATGTTTCTGTTCGCGGCCAGCAAGGATGATAGTCTCGGGAACAAGCAGATCATCCGGTAGACTAGAGATGCGATCTCTGATTGCCGCAGCATCATAGTCATGTGCTTCTCCCAAAAGTTGTAGCAGCCGCAGACGGCTATGCCAAACCTCATTGTCGTCCGGGGCATTATCCCGAAGGAAGTGGCTGTACGAAGGCTTCGGGGCTTGGAGAGCCCGGTATGCCGCGTACGTTGCTCTCACGATGTCCCGGCTGACAGACGACGACTCAAGGTCCATCACGACAACGTCGAGGTAGTAGGCCATGAGGTCGTTGATATAGGTGGTATGCCCCTTGCCAAATACCAAATGTTCAAGGTAGTACTTGACTGCTTCTGGCGCTTCTTCTCGCAGAATCTCAACCACTTGTGCCGGCTCAAACTTGGGTGCTCGCCCCTTGTCCTCCGTAAAGACCTGAACGCCGAGCTTCGGGTTGCGGTTGGCCAGCCATACACCATACTCTTGGACGAGAGCCTGGCTGCTGATCTTGGTAAGATATTCACGAACTCGTTGCTCGCCGTCGCGGAGTTCCTGGCCAACGTCTGCCTCCCCTTCGATGATTCGCCTCCATGTAGCGAGTACATCGCTAGACATCTTGCGGCTCTGGTACAGTCGACTGAGGACGAACAGGCGGCGGTAGGACTCAAGCAGGCCCACGGCACGGTCGAAGCAGTCGACGCCCTTGTCCACGACTTCGTACAGCTCTGAACGGACAACGCCGCCTTTGCCCAGTCCCTTGGGAGAATGTTGATCTATCTCGAGCAGAACGAGTAGCAAGGCAGCGTCAACTGTGTGAAACACCTCTCGCTCATCCGCAACACTACCAAATCCCTTTCGTTTTCGCCACGTACCGAGGTATCGTCGGAGAAAGTGCATCGTCATAGGTTCTAGAGTTCCAATGCTGTCCTTAGCTGTCATCTCGAAATCTCTGCTTCGTAGGTAGGCATCCGCTGTCTTTCTCACTCCGCCGCAGATCCAGATTCCACGCTGGCCTTCGACGATTTCGTTCCGGATGCTGGGGATCAGTGATAATACCACTCTGGGATCAAGGCTGCTCTCGACCAGGACCTCCTCGAGCGCCTTGATCTCTGACTCTGTAAACTTCTTGTCATCAGGAGACTTGAGCATGTTCACTAGAAGCAGGATCCCGGCCTTTTGTCGTATATATCCCAGAGTCAGAAACTCCAATTCAGTCCGGGCTTCCTGTCCCCGGATCTGATTGAGAGCAACGAAAATAGCTCGCTTATCCAAGTCACATGGGCTTAGAACCTTTCCTGGGCATGCTGCCTCCAGAGCAGCATCAAGTTGAATGAGCAGAGGGTTGCGGATTGCCCACCAAATTCGACTCCCGCTCCAGACTGCTATTCTTGCTTCAGCTTTCGCGAGTTGCCGGGTAAACTCTTCTCCTTCTGAGTTGCGGTTTGCTTCCCACTCTTCTGGCAGTGATTCTTCATCTTGAGAGTCGATATTTCTTTCGAAAAGCTCCTTCTCTTTGGACAGTTGTTCTATCGATAATGCTGTTCTCGAGTCCACAGACTTGATAGAGGCTGAAGCTGGGTCAGGGGTTGACGGGGAGACAGAGAAAGGAGTGTATCTCCTCTGACATAACCTGTCTACGATCTCTTCAAACCGTGTCTCTTCGCTGCCAGCTAGCGAACGAATGCCATATACCGCATCGTGACCGGCTTGGGTGGCTGTGAGCCAATGCTTCTGTGGATATGTCACTGAGCCCGCATCAAGTCGCTGGATTTCAAGTCCATGATACAGACCGTCGTCCTGTTCTTTAGTCATTGAGGCCAGAACATAGCCTTCTTCTTGTTGCGGCAGGCCTGACTGTGACGAGGTCAAGTCTGTTGACGGGCTATCAACGACAATTTCTCTCGGGTATCTAGCGAACTCGAGTGTTGGGCGAGTAGGGTCGCCATCAAGATTGACAAACATGCCAATTCCAGGTTCCAGAGGACTAGTTCCGGTGACAATGAGAAACTCATCTGGGGTCGGAGAGGTGATATGAGGCTTCAAGAAGACTGAGCCAGGTTTGGGTCTCGGGTCTGCTTGCGGGACAGGAGTGCCGGAAGGCGAAGGCGCAGCAGGCAAGGGTTTATCTAGTGATGGAAAGTTTGGCGAAGACATCCTTTCAATGGGGGGTCTAGGACTCGTCGATGGCTGCGGTGAAGCATTGCGAGCAATTGGATCCTCACTCTCACTGCCGTGTTGATCTTGCCGGCGTATGCTTCCCAGAATTGAGCCTCCCAAACTCGTGCTCCGACTATGACCTGGCGCCTCTGATGATGGGCGACTGGCGGCAGAAGAGCTACGAAGGATCCCACTTGATGTATCTGCGGCAATGCTCTGGGCATGTCCGATCTCATTGGGTGGGGTCGTCTCTTCGAGCGACGAGATACTCATCAAGGGGATCTTGAGTTGTTGCTCCACGTCAATGAGCGCATAAGATTTGGAGTCTGCCACACATGCGATCGAGTCTCGGCGCACTGATAGAGTGCTTCCCGAGAAGTCAATTTTCTAGCACATGTCAGTAAGGCCAACATTAGACACAAACCGCAGAGACGCACCTTGAAAGCACGAGCGTCTTCGCCAACGCGAACGACCTGGATCTTCCGCATAAGAGAGAGGAGGATGGTGACTCCCGAGCTCCTTTCCGAGCTTCCATCATCAAGCAAAGGTTCGTTCAAGTCGATACCACCAATCCAGCTACAGTTCTTAACCAACGTCGATCCAAAAACGGGGCTCAACTCGGGGAGGGAGTAGAAGGTGACGGTCCAGTTGCATAGGATGCATGCCTTGCCGACGCGCGGCAACAACAAGATCTGCTGAACACCGGGTCGCGAGGCTGGTGTACCTGGAGTTTCCACATATTGGGGGCATAATCGGGAGGCTAGGATGTATATGGGTTGTCCGGACTTGTCTTTGGGGTCGGGAGGAATCTGGACGAAGTGAAGCAGTTCCGAGGCCGATGTGCCGACGTACAAGTTCGAGTCTGTGTACGATTGAATTAGCAAGGAGATGCGACATGAACGGACAACATAAGCACCCACCTAGGTAGTCGACGCAGTTAATCTTGATGTCGTCCTGGGAGCCATCCGCGGAGAGCGGTACCTCATCAAGTAAGGTCCTCAGAACGTAGGGTCCATCTTCGCGGGTGTTCAGCGCCAGGCTGGAAGCTGGAGGCCCGTCGCCTGGGCCATCGGATGTCATAGCGGCGGTCTTGTCGGCAGCATCATCTGAACAAACTCGAGGTAACAAACAAGCTGGCTTGTTGTGTAGACAAGATGCGAGTCCAAGCTGCCCACTCTAGGCTGGCGTAAGTTGACATGAGTGGATACAGTACGTAGCTGCAGGTGCTGAGCTTCCAGAAGTGGAGTGATAAGAGGTGGCTGAACTGCAAGGCTGTGGCGGGATAAAGCCGACCCCTGTGGCGCCGGCCTTGGCATTCTCAGCCTGACAGCTCTCTCAGCCAATGACATTTGATGACGCGCCAGCAACCTGGCCCCAAGTTCAAGGGAACACACATTCCTTCAGCTCATCACCGGAATCACCATCTCATGGATCCAGTTTGACCACGTCAACGGCGACTCCTGACGACTATTTACTGGAAGCACCAACTGCGACACACTCGTTCTTATAGCATCGTGGCGGTAAAGGCCATTCACTCTCTGCGCTGCCCCTGATTCTCCACGATCGACAACGCCATGACGGACGCAGCCGTGGAAGCCGCCCTGGCAACTTCCAACGAAGCCCCCGCAGCTCCTACTTTCGAGGGGGAGAACAAGTTCCAGCATGCTATTTCAGCATGGAGGAGTACGACACCAGAGAGTCCTCATCACACAATGCGTGATACTAACTCTGCTGACAGCTATCGACCTCACCACCCTCGTCTCCAATCTAGACAATACGGCATCCGACATTGTAGCCTACCAGCGAGACTCGACGGTACAACGCAAAGAACTAGCGCAAAAGACCAAGGAGTTCCGCAAGCTCGATGATGCCACCAAGCTTACGGAGATCAAGGGCCTGCTAAAGTGTACGACCTACGTCCTCATGATGAGGTTATTCTAACTGGATGCAGCCTACCAAACCTTCATTGACCTTCTTACGAACCACTCCAAGTCTGTCAACTCGGCATTCTTGCAGACATATACCTCTTTCTCTGACGCACCCGATCCATATCCGCTCCTCGAGGCTTCGGTCGACTCGATGCTCCTCTCTGAGGACACCTTGCCAAAAATTACCGAAGAGAACCAGCGTTTGCAAGAAACTGTCACAGATCTCACTTCTCAGTTGGAGGAGACCGAATCGAGACTACAGACCGAACGGTCTGCCCGAAAGGAACTGGAAGAGAACCTTGACAGCCGAGTGAAGGAGGTAGAGTCATCATGGACCGCCGTGCTAGAGGAAAAGACAGACAACTGGGAGTCCAAGGAGGAGGCGCTGGAGGATAAGCTGGAAAAGCAAGAACGATTGTTGGCCGAGATGCGAGCAAGCTACGAGGTCAACCAGCGATTGGGCAAGAATGGAGATGACCAGGAGGCTCAGCGTAACCAGGTCTCAAGCGCCGAGCTTGAGATGCTTCATGCCGACCTTGATCGCACAAGCTCTCGTCTTGCCGAAGTTGAGGCCCGAAATGAGCAGATGAGACTGGAGCTGGCGCAAGCCAAATCTTCAGTTCAATCACAGCCCGAAGCCTCCCTTGAAGATGACCCCAGCTATATGCGCATGAGGTCGGAGAACCAATCCATGATCCGCAAGCTGGAAGCTGCACGCGTGGAAAAAGAAGGTCTCAAGCGAGACTTGGATGGTAAACTACGATCCATTGAGAGGGAAGTGAACAAGTTGAAGGGCGAAAGGGACACTCTAAAGGCCAAGGTCCAGAAGTGGGGCGACTACGATGAAATCAAGCAGGAACTTGAAGTCCTCAAGAGCATCGAGTTCTCCACGGGCGACGACGATGAAGTACGAGAGCATCTTGAGTCAGGAGATGCGGAAGGCAACTCACTGGAGAGGCTTCTCCTGGCTCGAAACAAGAAGCTTGGCGATGAGCTGACTGTACTTCGTGTTTCCCATAATGACCTGCAGAGTCGCCTTGAGAATCTTCAGGAAGAGCTATCGAGGACAAACGCTGAGCTAGAACGGTCTCAGAACCTCAACCAAAAGTTGGAGAGTGACCTTGAGAATCTCCAGGAGGAGGGCGCCAATGCTTTCCCGTCAGGAGCCTCTGTGGCTGGCACATATGTCACCCGAACAATCGGCCGCAAGAGCGGCAGAATCTCGCCGACATCGTCCATTATCAGCGGCATGGACCCCCGCATGGGTAGTGAGCCAGGCGAGCGAGTATACGGAGGTGGCTCGGGCATGCTGCCCATGGTCACGGCCCAGCGTGACCGCTACAAGAAGAAGAATACGGAGCTGGAGCAAGAGCTTTCGGACACGCACCGAACAGTCTCACAGCTCCGCCAGGAAGTCGCAGCCTTACAAAAGGACAACCTGAACCTGTACGAGAAGACGAGATATGTGTCGACCTACAACCGAGGCGGCGGCGCAGCTACGTCCTCCGCCTACGGGGCAAACCCGAACCCCTCAACAGTGTCGATTGGGGAGACGGGAAACCCTGGCATCGCTCTGGACAGGTATCGCAAGGCATACGAGTCCAACATTTCTCCATTCGCGGCATTCCGTGGTAGAGAATCTGCCCGAGCATACAGACGGATGAGCCTTCCGGAGAGGGTGGTGTACTCGCTGACGCGTATGGTTCTCGCCTCGCGTACCAGCCGAAACCTGTTCGCAGCATACTGCGTAATGCTCCACCTTCTGGTCTTCCTGTCCATGTACTGGCTCAGTTCGTCAGATGTCGACCGAGCCGCTCACCTCGAGTCTGCAGCGGCGGCGGCAGCAGCAGGTGTGGCCGGTGGTGGACTTGGCAGCCCAATGGATGGAGCTCCCAAGGATCCTGCCAAGTAGCCGAGAGGCGAGGCCCGTTTTGGGTGTGTTTTGCGTATACTGCGTATAGGGTTCAAGAAGGGAATGGGAATATATGTCTTGTAATACCACCGTAAGCTTGGAAGGGTTTGGGTTGAAGGTAGAGTAAATGACAGCTCGGGAACTTTGCGCCACAGAATCAATGGGTTCACCTATAAAATACATGTTACCTACAAGGTGTTTGCTTGTCAGAATGAACTTGACAGGCACGTCAATAAAAAAACCAACATGTGAAGAAGGACTCGCGGCTATCTCTCGACCATCCATCCACTACAGATGCAAGTCATGATGGACGGAAGCTTGGCTCTAGGGTGTCCGAATGCCCCGTCCCAATCAGAAGCGTCATTGGACGCGCGGGTCCAGTCGATGCTATTTTCTGCAGCCGCTGGCCGCTTCTCGCGGCCCGTCGAGAGGCGCATGACAAGACCCGCGGTGTCCAATCACAGCATCAAAGACGGGCGGCAAGATGAACAAGGACCCTGGACTCCATCGTTTGGGACGTTTTGGACATTGATTGCTCGTTGCCGCGGAGAAACTTTGTTTCTGGTCTCGGCGAAGCTTGGCTTCTTGATCGGTTGGTTCGCAGGAGTGCGCCGAGATATCTTGGGATCTTGATCCGGGTCTTGGCCGATGGGTTAAGACGGGCGGTACGAGAGATTGGAGGGTAAGCGAGGGAGTCCTGGACGCTTTTAGAATGTACAATTGAGCAACTGAAGGGCCGTTTACTCCTGGACCTGGTCAAGCAAACCCAGCAATGTAGCAATCTGTCTAAATACCTCAATGGCTGGTGGGCAGATGATGACAGTCTCGTCCATTAATGGATCTTTTTTGTTTAACGAGGACCCAGATCCCACATGGCAATGACCGAAACAACCTGCGCACGCATACACCTCTCTTCCTGGCAGCGCCCATCCATAAACGCCCATGCATATGCCGACGCCCGAGACAGGCGCTTAAATCTCCCCCATGCCACCAATCATGACCCAGCATACCCCTACCGTCTCGTCGATCATTGGACATTGCTCATCCATTCTGCTTCTCAGTCACAGAGAGCAAGCGAAGGGGGAGGGGTTGGTGTTGTTCTCGCAGACGCAACCCGTTTAATGGGTGTACCCGGCGTCATCAAACCAATCAATGCTGATGTTTCTACATGCTGCGGACCAAGTTGCCGCCGAACTTGCGCAGCCGAAAGAGAACGCGTATGACAAGGGCTTGCTTGATGGAGGGTGGGGAGAAGGTTGGTTATAATAAGAGACGGTTCATCGCCGCCCCGTCTTCATTGTTGAAAGTGAAGAGGCAGGAAAAGATAATCCAAATCTCAACAGTAGACTTTCGGGACGCTGGGCGTTCTTTTTCCTTTTATTTTTTCTTCTGTGTTTCCTTATTTCCTTGAGTACTCGAATATTCGTGTTTACTGTTATCACGCCCCCCCGGTCGAACAACAACCATTACTCTGTGTATCTGGACGCTCTGGTTTCTGTGGTTCTCGGGCCTCTCGAGTTAACGACGATATCGACACATTCCCGAAACCAATCACCTCAATCATCTCTTGCCCGCACGACTTCAAGATGCAATTGTCAACATTGCTCGTATCAGCCCTGGTGGCGATTGTTTCTGCGGCGCCCACATATCCCGAAGTCAAGGCAAAGGATGCCCGTTCGGCCATCGACTCGCTGGGTTCCTTGTCAGAGTACTTCAACTCTCTGGCATACAAAGTCAAGGCGGCCAAGGTTTCTGGAGAGGTTCCCGTCTGCGACCTGTCACAAGCCAAGATGCCTCTGAGTATGTCCAACTTTCAGCCCTGTTCCCGGAAGCCCAAGTACTAACCTGTGGTCAAAGACGGAGCACTGGCCGACCCCGCCGAAGGTCTCACCCTTAAGCACGTTGCTGTTGGTCGCGGCACTCAGAATTATACCTGCGACCTCAAGGAGCCTTCAGTCGCCCCCAAGGCCAACGGTGCCGTGGCTACCCTGTTCAACGCCAGCTGTGTCGCGGCCCTATACTCTGACCTCCTCGAGCAAATCCCTGGCATGGCCGTCCACTTCCCCCTGACGAATGCATCCAGGCTTGGCCCTGCTGAGCTGCCCGTGTCGGGCCACCACTACTTCACCGCCGATGGAGTGCCCTTCTTCGACATCCGCACACCGGGTCACGACATTGGTGAGGCTCCCTGCGCGAAGAACGATTCAGCTCCCGCGCCATCGACTGCCTCGGTGGGACAG